GATAGATAGATAGATAGATAGATAGATAGATAGATAGATAGATAGATAGATAGATAGATAGATAGATAGAGAGACAGACCGGGAGAGAGAGACAGTGAGAGACAGGGCGAGACAGCGGGAAAGAGAGAGAGAGAGAGAAAGAGCGAGAGTGAGAGAGCGAGAGAAAGAGCGAGAGTGAGAGAGCGAGAGAAAGAGAGCGAAAGAGCACGGGACAGGCAGACATAGATACCTGGTGGCTCTTGCCTAAAAGGAAGATCGCAGTACGGCGTGTTGGCGCTGCAATCAGCTGGCGGCGCGCGATCACAAGCACGCGAAACGATCGCTACTTCCATAATGACGAGCCTCGAGCGCGTTCGCTTTCACTCGGTAACGAGTCGAACATTTCGCCACCGCTATGCGAAGCAGCGCTCAGGCGACCGCCCCAGTTGGCATGCCCCTCGTTGGCGCGCAATTGTTTTATAATACACAGCGGCGGAGGCGGTGAATTAGCTATACGTTCGGAGCTCCGAGGCATCGCCATACGGCGGCATGCACAGATTTACGCGCAGGTTAGAATGAGGGACAGAGTGCGCACGACACTCCACTCTCTCTCTCTCTCTCCAGGCACTGATAAAATAACAAAGAGTTTACCAACCGACGGGACAATGGAGATCCGATAAACAAAAGTTCGACACGGTGCGTTTGCCGTCGGCAATTTGTTGTCGGCTAAGTCCGTCCGTGCACAAAGAGTTGTAAGCGCTTGCCGGGTTTGTGGGCAGCAGTAAGAAACTGCAGGGGGAGATGACGACGATGATGATGATGGTGGTGAGCGCTGCTGCAGAGATCGACTGTCCGGTCCGAATCGCCGGCGATAATCGGCGCGAAAATGAGCCATTTTCAGCTTTTGACTTTCGGGTGGCATTTTGAAAGTGGCGTCCATTGTGCGACAACGCAGTGCCGCAGCGGTGGCCCGCCCAGTCGGAATGACCATATAGCAGTGGGATTTGCATACTATGGGGAGATTTACGGAGAGCGGAGATTGTCGTTTCCCCCAGTTCGTTCAATCTGGCACCTGACATATTCTGGGGGGGGGGAATCTGACAGGGTTGACTGTGTCTGTAAGAAATACCATGTGAAACTACGACGCAAATATGACGTAGGGCTACCGGTTCCCCACAAACTATAACCGTGTTGTTTTCTCGCAGCGTTCATATTCCAGGAAGACACATACGCAATATAGATAGTTATATGTACACTAATAAATATCTAATATCTGAATGAAACAATTCATATTCATAGATTCATATTCATAGTCAGATTCATAGGTTGTGAATGAAAAGATGGAGGAAGAGAAATAACGAGAGAGAAACAGAGGTAAAAAATGTATGCGTGCGTATGAGTGTGTATGCGTGTCCACGAAAGAGAAAGACTGAAAGAAAGAAAGAGAGAGAGAGAGAGAGAGAGAGAGAGAGCGCGCGCGCGCAAGAGAGAGAATTAAGAATTTACTTTGTGGAATGGGATACACGGCATTTGACTAGTCGGCGCTGAAATACAGCTGGAATGCATAGTTCCCTAGCTTATGCCGAAAACGAGTATGCTGAATGGCTCTTTAATACGGCTTTATATGGAGAAGGTGTGTGGCTCAGCTGATCGCAGGTTCTGATAGCTGAGTAGGGAGCGTAAACAGTGAAAGACATCCAGGTATAGTCGCTGATTTAGATGCGGGTGGTTTGTCCGTGAAACATTGCTGTCTAGGGGACCACCCAGCCAGCGAGTACCACGAAACAATAAACATAAAAGGTCGGAAACTTTAAAGTTTTAAAATGAATATGTCACCTTTTTATGAAAGGTATATTTGTGAACAAATTTCACTTTTTTATAGAGAAAGTACTTACTAATAGCACTACATACATTGTGTGTTCATTATTAATACTTCAAACTCTTTGCCGATAGGATTGTTTTTAAACTAGCTAAAAACCACTGGGCAATTGGAACTATTGTACTATTAAATTTGGTCTTGAATAAGCAACGTATATCGATCGCAGTTGATTAATTACATCAAACGGAACGGCAAAACAAGAAGTGTAACACCGAAATTCAACAGTAAAAGGTTAATAACACACTTGTGTATTACCGGTCTATCTTTTGCTCTAAACAAATTTGTCCACTATTTGCGGTGACAACGTGACATTGTAAATATCAGAAGAGGACGTGTACCTCTACGACAAACTGTAGCCTTGCGCATGCGTAGACATGCATGTACCTCGTACCAAAACAACTGTATGAGGAGGCTAAGATATTCTACGTTAGCAAATACTCGAATGAACTCTTACGTAATTACGCGTATACTAAAAATCGCGTTAGTAAAAGTCGACAAGAAACCCAATGCTTTGCCAACTCACCAAAAACCC